CGAATTCCCGCTGCCTCTTGGGAGGGGGAACGGGAGAGCCGACCGCCAGCGAGAGGGGCTTCCAGGAGGGCCCCCCGTTCAGGACGGACCCGTTGGCGACCGGGTCGTTCTTGTTCCAGACGCTGAGCACGTGGCAAGCGTGCCAGGCGGCGAGGCCTTTCCCTCCGTCCTCCTTCACTCCGAGCGGCGGGGGCATTCCAAAGGCCACCACCCTCAGGAGGCCCCCAAAGGGGGGGGCAGGGGCTTCCGCCTCGGAAATGCCTCCGCCGAGGGGGTCCCGGAGCCCGGCAAAGAACTCCCCGACGTGGACCGCGAGSAGCCCGCCCCGGCTGTGCCCCGTCAGGACGATCCGGTCGAACTCCTGGTTCCAGTCGCCGCCGCTGCTGAGGCACAGCTCCCCCAGCTTTTGGTAGATGGCCCTGGCCGGCTCGATCCATCCCTCGTGGTGCCCCTCCCGGTAGGCGTCGCGGGAGGTCCTGGTTCGGCCCGTTTTCTCGCARCCCYTTGTCTCGCTGGAGAGGGCCTCACCGATCACGTGCAGTCCCCGAAAGGCGTGGGGCATGACGTTCATCACGTGCTGGAGGGGGGAAAAGGTCCCGCGGACGGCCACGCAGAGGGTTTTCTTGGTCTCGTTGTTGCTCTCGTTGCTTCCGCTGTTGCTGTTGCGGGGGGTCTGGGACACCACCACCGAGAAACAGTCGGCGGTCCCCACTTCGTGGACTTTTGCGGGGGCGCCACCGCCGCCCGTTTCGTTCCGGTYKTCGTGGCTTTGGTACACCTCGGAAGAGATTCGTGCCAGGTAGGAGATGGAAAGCTTCGCCGGATCGCCGGAAGCATACGGCGATTCCGGGGGTGCTTGTGCAACGATGGCCTCCGTTCCAGAAGGGTCGTCGGATTTCACCAGCTGCTGTTGTTGCTGCTTTTGTTGTTGTTGTTGCTCTTGTTGTTGTTGCTGCTGCTGCGCCGGCCCGGGAAGCCGTTCGGGGGCTGCTTCCGCGGTTCCCCGGCGCCGTTGCAGCGTGTTCTCGTGCAGGTGCTCTTCCAGGGCTCGCTGCGAGGTTTCGATCAGCGCACTCGACAGCGACGACAAGAGCGAAAACCGCCCGGTCCGCTTGCGATCGCCGTGGTTCTGGGACATGTTCCGGTGCTGCTGCTGCTGCTTCTGCTTGGCCGCTGCCGATTCTTCGGTTCGGAGATCGTTGTTGTGCAAGGGGGAACAAAATCGATGCCACAAAGGGGATCCGTACTCGTACGTACCGTGCGGTGGTAGAGGCTTGGCGTTTGTGTTGGCGAATTTGAGGATGTAGTTTCGTGCCTAAAAGTATGTATCGTACGTACGGTAGTACCATACTGTAAGATAGCGCCGCAGGGAGTGCCGTGCGTACAAGTAGTCCGTACGTACCGGTACGTTGTCGGAATCTCTGGACATGGGAATTCAAATTCAAATTCTCGCCACCGTCTTTCTTTTTACCGAGTCCAAGATTATGCCAGTAATGGACGCGCAAGCCCAGAATAGCCCGTTAAAAAATGAGGCCTCTTGTTCTTAAGCCGACCTTTTGGTGCCGGTAGTTCGAAATTACAATGACAGGTACAGTATTAGAGTCCCCAAGCAGCTTATGTCACGAGTCGCAKTGCTCGAAAGTCATACCGGTACAGTCATAACATAACATACCGTACGGTATGGTACGTACCGTATGTTGTTGCAAAAACGCGAAAAAAGAAATGATGATTGCTCTCGCCATTTTCATTAGCATCTTTCATCCAAACGTAACGGGAAGCAGGATGGGTTAATGCAGCGATTCCGGACACTCTGTTGTGCATTCCTCTATAAAGTATTTATACAGCATCCTACGGTTCTGCCTTGATTTCCAAACAACACCAGCCATGGTGAAGAAGATGCGGTGGTTTKTGAAGATTCTCTTCTGCGCGTCCTGCCTGTTGTTCATCGCCACGTCGACCTATCTCCTCGTGCTCCACAGAGATCCGACGTGGCCCGCCCACWTCCTGCCGATCGGTGCCTACAGCGCCACCTACGGAGGAGGAACGGGCAAGAACCGGACCGCGCTCAACCTCTGGCAGAACCAACACCACAATCCCTCGCCGGAAGGACCACCGGTGCTGCTAGCAGAAGCAACAGCAGAAGCAACAGCAACAGCAACAGCAGAAAAGGGATCCAAGGAAATCATTCGCAACGGCAACGAACCCACCGAGGTGGTCCTTTCCATCCAAAACCACCCGAAAGAGGATGGTGGTCGGACAGAAGAAAGTCGAAACAATGCGCCAGGGGGTTCCGTCGACGTGCCGAAGGAARTTCTCTCCCTTCCAAACCAAACACAGCAAGACGAAAATCCTCCTCGAACGGAAGAAACTCRGCAAGACGACAATGCGATTCCAGCGGAAAAAACACAGCGAGACCGAAAACCTCCTCAAAACAAAGAAAAACAGCGTTTCTGGAGRTACGACGATGCGGGGCCGGACATTTTGCACGCCCGAACGCATTTTCTGTCGTCGATCCCATCGAAGTACCGGATCCTTTCGGACGAGGTCCTSACCGGCGAGCAAGACGACAAGGCGTTCATCGACGACCTGCGCGACCGATACGCCACGAATCCGGACCACACCTGGCCCCGGAAGCTCCACCTCTACGAGACCAATCCCTCCATCGCGGTGCTGCCGGAACGCTACCGCAACCACCCTTCGTGGYTGTCCTTCTTTGGGAGCAGCGGCAAAGACAACAACCACAACGACAACAGCGAGCCACGAGGCGCGGGGTTTCCGCGGTACGTAGCTTCCTACCGGGTGACGCACTGGAACAACTGCCACGACGGAGAGACGAACCTGAAACTCTACGGCGGGTCGTGGGACGTGCCAAAATCAGAGATTGGCAAGACCGATTACCTGGGGATTGCGTTGCTGGACGCCGACATGAACATTCTCGTCGACACAACGGTCACGCTGAAATCCGTCGCAACTACTGTGCGCGACAAGAAAAATCTCTTTTCTAGCTACTCCGATTACCGGTTGTTCAATCTCGGCGATGGTGGTGGAAACGATGAYGGCGGCGGCAACAGCGACGACCACCACGACGAATTGTACCTGACGTCGGAAAAATTCATTTCGCCGATCGCTCTCCAATTGCTGCCGGCAGCGTCKTCGTCGTCGTCTCTGTCGTTTCCAGCGGGGGACGATTCCCRAATTCCCGACAACTTTGTCGAAATCACCACCGCCTTTCCGATGGATTCGGCCACCACCGATCGCGGTCCGGTGTTGAAGGTCTGGACACGAGACTATTCCGCTTGTCCCATGGGTGCATACGAACACACAGTGAGCAAGCAGAAGAAGGGCAACCCCACCAACAAAAACCTGCTATATTTCGGAAAGAGAGGCGACAACACGGCGAAGGCATTGTTCTACCCGAGGCACAACCCCAACGACGTCCGCGACGTTCATCTCAACAGGAACTGCAAAAAAAGGGACAACAAAAGGATCATAAGGGAAACAACGATCGACTACAACACGCCGGCACCGAAAGACCAGCAACCCGTCCCGTCGTTTCAAACGATCGAAGCCCTAAAGTATCCCAACAAGGCCGATAAATTGTTTATGAGCGACCGCGGATCCGCGTGCTGTGTGAAGGTGAAAAAGGACCTGGTACGCCAGACGATCGCCTCCGCCCCTGTAACGAACTCGACATCGACATCGAAAGCGGATACAGGGACGCCCGGSAACGCAAACAACAGCGACGAACACGATACCTTGCTGGTGGCAATCGTTCATCCGAAAACAAAGTTCCCGGGGAAACGATTGCCACGGGGAGTAAACCCAAACACGTACCTGTCTCGATTCATCGCCTTTCTTCCGGAAGCACCGCACACCATAGTAGCCCAGTCCGGGATGTTTTGTTTGGGATTTCCCTCCCGCGGCATCGACGACGAGGAGCAGCAGCAGCAGCCATCRCATACCAYGGGACGAGACAACAACTCCGGAGGCGACGGCTACTACGAAAGTCCCCTGACGTATAGAACCTTGTCGGACACGATGAATTTCGCCAACGAAACGCTCCGGTGCCCGAGAATCCATTTTATTCTGAGCATGATCGACAAGGTGAAAGAAGACCCGTCGGAAGAGGACGCCGTGCTACTGTCCTACGGAGTCAGCGACTGCTTTTCTCGCGTCGTGGAAATCAAGAAGTCCGAGATCGTACGCATGCTCTCGCCGTGAGGAAGGAATCAAGCTGGTGGGRTTGAAAACTATGTAACTTATAAAATCCTAATGAGGCCTTTTCTAAACAAAGTTATAAAATCCTATTGAGGCCATAGATTTATATCCACCGGAATAACCCATTAATTATTGACGGACTGAGGGAATTGTACGATGSGAGTCTTTTATTCTTTGCTGTAATAATACGTCCACCTCAAACGGTACTTCGACTAAATTCTMCTGATACATTACTGTATTTAAGTTGTTTGTTCCTTGCGAAAACCCTTTTTTAAAATTAAAACTCTCGAACCAGTATGAACTTTAATACTTATCAGAACTGTTCTTCTTCGATCCTATCGAATAGAATCACTGTATCATTTTCGTCATTATCACTGTATTCCACCTTTCGATTTCTTCATTGAGAGCTATAAATGGTCTTGAAGTTTGGTACTTCGAAGTAGTACTTTGTACCTGAGAAACCTTGTAGATTGAAGCTTATTATTGAACTATTTGTTTCTTCTTATAAGCCCTTCGAACGACAAAAATCATTATGTCTCTAGATTAAAGTGATTGACTGATGTTTGTACTTTTTTATGTATTTTTCAACCGAAATGTCTTGAACGATGTCCTAGATACTGTTTGCTACTAATTGTTAACACCTACTTAAAAGCGATCTATAAGAAGAGCCTAAAAATATTTCTACTTTGTTTATATTTCTATTCTTGAATCTTTCATTTAACTAGCTTAGAGGGCACCTTGGTAAAACGGCTGAAAGTACTTTTGTTTAAGAAAATTATAWAWYTGGATTTCCAAGAGATTCTATATCCACGTGTTTGACCTAATTGTCGAAACGAAATATCGTTAGAAAACTGTGTTCATGGTCCAATCGATTACTGAATTCCTGATCAAAACTAAACTGTCTGAAAGATAAYAGTACGAGAAACTGTGCATCGTTTTGTGCATTTGCTTGTGTCTACTTTTAATCTCTTTCAACTGAACGCRGTCAATCTTCTTATTACTTCTCTTCATCAGTGTGACATACATAAACACACTCGTTGCCAGCAAGGTTTGACTCGACTTGTAGTTCCATTCCTAATTTTCATCAATTGTCCATACCTAAGGACAACAAAGGGAGCAGTTTTTTTCTATTTTCTCTTTCATTCCAAGTTAGTCGTCTGTGAATGAAATATCGAGCGAAAGCGACACAGGTTCACTAATATATGTTGTTGGATCGGCCCAAATACAACCGAAAGCAAAAGGATTACCCGAGAAGAACGGCTGGAAGAAGTCGAAGAAATTCGCTCACGCGAAAGTGCGACACTCAAGAAGTATGGTTGGATCTAGCAGCATGTTASCAGATGGAAAAACACATGCATGYGCAGAGACAACCRAATCGGGGAKTAGAAATCAAATTRCTGTAGCTGYCAACGAAGCCCGCGARAAAACTCTGTCACAATGTCCTGAAAATCAGAAGCAACATATTATTCAGCATCTTCAGTATGACCAACAGGTTCAGCAGAAGCTTCTGCTTCATGAGCACCAAGAAAGGGCAAAGATCAATGGAAACGGCAATAACATCTATTTGGAAAAAATGCGGAAAGCACAARATCATCTCTCTAAGGAGCGATTTGTTGCGCTAGCCAATGCCCGCATGATGCTGCAACACGAAGTGAGACAACGCAATGCGGAACAACAACTAGCGTTGACCGCTGCTAACATGCAACAGAAGGCTGCTTTTTTGCAGATTATGAGTGGAGAAAGGGGACTGGGTCATCCTACACCGCAACCCTCTGTAAGAAATGGCATAAGGAACAACGCCAATGTTCTACTCAATGCCGAATACTTGCAGCAACTGCAAATCGAAGYCATGGTGAACCACCGTCGCCAAAGTAAGTTGACACAAAACGGTCTGAGATTCCAAGTGCTAAATTCAAATGCAACCACGAACCCGAATGCGATTACAAAASTTGCTGCAAATGGCGCTGTGGCATCTCTCAAATCACCGCCCGTGGTCAACCCTTCGAAACAGATTGTTGCCGACAAGTTCATTCAGAAGGCCATATTGATGGCACGAGCAGACGAAGAGTTCGAAAAAGAACAGAAAGAAGAGCAAGTACAGCAGCAGATTGCTGCCGACAAGTTCAAACGCCAGGATATGGCCCTCCAGAAGGCCATATTGATGGCACGAGTAGAAGAAGAGCTCCAAAAAGARCAGCAAAAAGAACGAATACAGCAGCATGGACAGCAACGACGAGAACAGGATGAAAGGTCACGGCAAGCTGCCAGTGTGAAGCCAGTGCTTTCCTTTAATAATACCGGCGATTTGAGTGCAACTGAAGGTAACATAATGAAGAACWACGACAACATTACTGCTATGCTTAGAGCTCTCAGATCTGGAGCCGGAGTATCCGATGATTCCAAGAAAACCGTTGCGGCAATCACTTCCGCGTTGTCAATTAKCAGCAGTCTGAACGTGCAAAAATGCCCCTTAGTTGACCTGCAGAAACAATTATTGTATTTTGCGAAACAACACAAACATCAACAGCAGAATCAGTCATGCCCAGCCCAAGCGATGACACCCTCTTCGATTTCTTCTCTGCCACCCCCAGTACAGTTGGAACTATACCATCGTCTCCTCGCGCAACAACAACAGGGCTTTACGAATGCTACAAGCAAAAGCAGTGGAGCAAGGGCCGATCTCACAAGTTCGGTCTTTGGTAAGGTCGTCAGAACTCTGCACGGTGCTAACAACAATAACAGCAACATCAGTACAAACAGYAACASAGAAAGTAATTCCAAATCGATCAGCATGAACAAAAACACATTGAAACAAGCGCCGACTACTTCATCCCCTACGTCCAATTCCAYAGTYGCAGTTGAAACCAAAGGACCTGATCCAAAACCGTCTACTGTAAGTGCGCGATCGATGATCTTGTCAGCAGTTACAGCCGCCAAAGATYATCAGTTTCTAAACACTCCTCAGGTGCAACAACAGCAGGAACAGGTCATGACCRGAAACCTGTCTCAGCAGGAAGCTGAGCGAAAGTCGTCTTTCGATTGCGATGCCTCTTTTCATGACTCCACTTCAATAATTTTACCATGCCGAGCTCGAGGAATGCCCATGGATCATAACGCGAAGGTAAGRATTGAAGCGCATTGTGTCCAACTGATTGATCAACCAACATATCATTTTGCTGTTTTGAWTTCATTTGATTGTTCTCACCMAGGTGCCTTCGAACTATTATTTTTCAACAAACTCCCCTAAATAGTCAGCCTATTTTGTTATTCCARAAAATATCAAGCATGGAACTGATCTAATMTGCTCGCATTTTGGCTGCCGGAACGCAGGYRTAAAGTTTCGTTACTGCAGCTATTGCAAGCTTAGCGCAGCTAAAAGAAATTTTTCCAAGCGGCATCGACATTCGGRAAAGATTGTGGAAGTCGACGWTCCGAAGGAAGAAAATTCGAATTGCCACACTATTAGCAGCTGCAGCAGTGATAGCAAWAATGCCATGAACACAACAACTCATACCATCTGCACTACTGTGAAACCTACTAGCAACACAGAAGAAAAACGTTTTGGTTTGTCGCCAAATCCGCCAAAAATGAAGATGGCGCTTGGTGAGACACCACTATCAGCATCGTCATCGTCATCGTCACTAGCATCAACATCAAAATCAGCATCAGCATCATTATCAGCATCAGCAACAGCATCAGCAACACTATCAGCAACAATATCGACAACGGTGGGAGCAAAAATAGAAGCATCAACAGCGCCAATATCATCGTCAACAAAAACACCGACGTCATCGCTGACAACATCGCCGAAAAGGACGATGCCTTTCAGCAGCAATATAACGGTAGATAGGACAAACGAAAACGACCCTCATGTTTCTGAGAATATTTCTGGGGCAGAAGAATTTAGACCCATTACYAAGCGGCGGCGGCAAGCATGGAAAGACCTCTTGTTGAGTCGTCCAAAATCGCATCAAGACAACTCGCAGTTTATGATCGAATGGATCCAAGATGTTCTTCGCGTGAGCGACTTGGAAAACAATTCTTTTGGTGGCGAATCAGGCGACAAAGAGAGACGGAACCCTTCTCCAAACCCTGATATGCACCGAGACGAGATGCCGCATGGCGACCAGAAGCGTTCCAAAAAACCAAAGATGGGAGAGGTWATGCACAAGAACAAACAAGAAGAGAGGAAAGCGAACCCAAACACACCCAAACCCTTCTCTRTGGAGGAATCAAATCACAGCTCCGTCGGGATTAAAGATATACTTCCTGAAGACAATTCGACCTCGAGTGAAGATTCTGTGGATCTTTGAGTCCGAAAGAAAGTGCGTAGCAAATAAGGAAAGTGGCGAGAACGGAATCAGTCCTTTGGCAGGAACCTCCTCGCATGGATTGATTCATTCGCTGGGTTCTCGGTCTTTCTGGCCAACGACACGCGCCGAAGGTCATGAAAACTGTACGGATCGAAAGGCATACCAAGCTTTTAGTGCGTTCAAAAGAACTGACAAAACGAGGCGATTATCCATATAAAGGAACCTTGGGATCCTAGTGCCGACATGTCGAACAAGGGAGAGTCGTTCATACTGCACAAGGAAGAAATGAASACATCAAATATTCACTTAAATGGTAGTTAGCTGTTTCAACTCARYATCATTCACTGTAAACAAATTTTATATTKTCTTTCCCAGCTGATCAATGATTGACYCGGTTAACATCAAGATCRAGCGCATTTCTATTCGGATGTATTATTTTTAATTCTAATGTATTCTTTTTCACTTTYCCACCATCTGCGTAATCTTGCTATTTCTTTGTTCTCGCACAAATGCCTCCATGTGTACCTTTGTGGATGGCAAGATTGTCGGARCTCCGCAAYCAATTCTTTCGTCTCMTCTGGCCTTTGTCTAATGCTTTGTAATGCTCCCAAACGYCGGGGATTGCTTCCACTGCGAAGCCAGCGACGACGACTTGCCCGAGAACTCCAGGGTCGTCCACCATATGCACGCCGTCAGGATTCCCGACGCGTTCTTCCGGTCCAGAAACGTCTTCCCGAGGGCGGTTTCAAACCCCATCTTGTGGTTCCCTACCGCTGTGGCGGTTTTGTGGGCGCTGCTTGCCGCCCGGACGACTCTCGTGAGGAGCATTGTGCTGCCGCTGTTACTGRCACTAGAAGCTGTGGCGTGTGCAATATTGGCTTCTTCTGATGCGCTTCGCCGTGTTCCGCGGTGGCTATGTCTCTTTATTCCCAATCGACGTCGGATTAAAATCTTTTTTATCTCACGAGTCAACACCCGTTGCGAAATAGCATGTCTCTGGAACGATGATGCTTATTCGATACTCTGTTGTACATTATAGTTTCCTTCCCCAAATTGTCTGATTGTCAGGAAACASAATGCTGTGAGSCAGATTCTGTTTTTGTTATTCAGAAGATACTCTTACCGGTACGGGTTACGAATCTCATTCCGATGCTTTTCTCATTTTCTCGTTTGTGTACCKTACAGTATGTATGTACGTACGTACGTAGTAGTAAAGGCATMAACGGCAGAAACGCGGAAAAAGAATTCGAATATTTTTTGCTTCATCAATTCGTGCTCGTACAAATACGTACGAACCGTAGGTGAGAGTTGTTCTCTCTCCTCTCCAATGCACAAAACTACTACCGTACGAGTAAGAATCATCGAGGTTTCAAACGGTCTCGCCCCGCATGCCGACATCGACATCGACATCGACGTCGAGAATCGAGAATCGAGGACGAATTCTTTCCAGTAACGAATGACGCATTGTATCCTACGTTTTCATTGGCGGATCCAGAGACACGGCCYAGACACGAAACATACGGTAGCTCTCCCTAGATTCTCGCGAAGTCGCGCAGTGCCGMGTGCTCATCACGAGAAAATTTGATCCTACCGTAAGATCTTAGCATACATATATCCCATACAGTACTAACATACAGATRGGTAGGAACGAGCATGGGAGTGTACGGTACAAACCGTACGATGACCTATGAACGAACTTATGCTGCAGTGCAACTTAGTTGAGTAGCACGAAGTCTTACTTTCTGTACAAAWAATTATGAGGTTTTCCTTGAAGGTGCGGTAGGTGGATACGTTTGCTTTCCCTGAATATTCAATATCAATCGGATAAGAGGATACGAGCAACAAGCTTCCTTCATAGTAAAGCATTTGAGTCGCACTATTGTTGCMATCTTCTTGGAATTCACGAAACTGAAGAAAGAAAATGAAGTACATCCGTACTCTGTATTGTTTTGCTATACTATAATCATTTTTAAACTTGTTGGGTACGAAAGAAACCAGGAATTCGATTGATTCCTTCTTTGAACTCGAACATTGTTTCACTCTCCGTCCATCGTGTCCAAACTTGATAGAACGGAACGACAGGGGAATGAAA